CACACACATAAGTGGAATCCTCAGATGTCCATCCGCCAAGTGTGTCTGGCGAGCATTCCCCCATCTGTGCTAAAAAGCCCGGCCAGGCTCTCCCACCCCCAGCCCTTCACCCCCCCACACCTTCTCTCCCACTCCCACCCACACCCCCCCCACCATCATCACCGCTACCGAGCCCTCCTCCCTCCCTTTTTTCCCTCCCTAGCAAGAACCAGATGCCAGACCGGCTAAGCGGCTCATCTCTGGCCATGCATTGCAAAATTTAAAACAAAAATAATAATAATTTTTTTAAATGAAGAAAGGGGGTGAAAAAGGGGGGGGGAGAGCTGGTAATGCAATAGCCCCCAGGGCATCCATGCTGGGGGGGAAGGGAGGAAGAAGAGCATCCATTAATCCCCCTCCCTTCCCCTCCCCTTCTCCCATCACTGCCCCCATGCCTGCTGGGGAGGGATCATGCCACCCCCCAGAAGTGGGGCACTCACTCACCATTTGATAGGTCTGTGCACAGCTGTGGCCATTTTGACACCGTATGCAAATCCCTCAGCCTGCCTGGGCTGGTTGGAAGAGCAGAAAATTCCTTCCCCCCCTTTTTCTTTTCTTTCTTTCTTTTCTTGATTTTTTTTTTACCTCTCACATCAGAATATACTGTACAATTTTATTCATTCTCCAACAGCTTGCAGGGAGGGGGGGCCCAATCACAGGCCAGCTCCTTTGAGCCCCAGTGCACCATGGGGAATGTAGTCTCTGGGCTTTCTCTTTTTTTGCACCAGCCTCTCCACACACACACACTTTTTTTTTTTGCATTATTATTTTTCTTCTCCCTCCGCTCGGGCTTCCTTTGCAAGCTCTTTGCAAGCGGGAGTGGATGCCGCCAGCTGCCACCAGGGAACCACAACTCCCAGAGAGAATTGCGCCTGACAGCTGTGGAGCCCACCCACCCCCCGGGGGGGGAGGAGAGGCAGGCGGGCGAGGGTGGCTGAATGATCATCATTTTTATTTTTATTTTTTTAAGGGAAGGGGCAATTCATCCTGATGGCATTTGCGTGACTGCAAAAGCCCTTCTCTTGAGCTTGCAAAAAAAAAAAAAACCAATTGCTTTTTGCGGGCTGCAGGGAGTCTAGGGGCCCCCCCGCCCTTTCACAAAGCAGGTGCAAGGCGGAAGGGGCAACTCCCCAGGGTTTTATTCGGGGTGGGGGGTGGGGGGTGGGGAGAGCATCAATGGGAAAGCAAGGCGCCCCTCTGGGAGTCTCGGGGTCCAGCCCACCCCAAAGGTTCCATTAGAACGCTCTGCTTGGCCCCAGAACCCCTTCTTTCACATCAAAATCCCAGTTTTTAGGTAGCCGTCCCGAAGATGAGAGTGCCTCTGAGCATGGGCAGAGTCCGTTCTGAGCTGCCCCTCTCCCACGCACCATTGGAAAGAGGGCAACCGGGCAGGGCATTTTCTGACGGGGTCCGCCCGCCCACGCCCGCGCGGCCTGATTGGGGGTCCGTCTGGGGGAGCCCTAATGGCGTGGGGGGTGGGGGTGGCAAAAAAAATTGTTTGTGTGTCCCGGCCTCCTTCGAACAGGGAAGCAGCCGAAGAAGGGGGCTCTGACGGTGTGATCCTCCGGAAAGGGGAGCGGGCGGGGTACCCAGAGATCATCCAGGCGTGCCCGCTGCGGAGCCCGGGAGAGCTCGTCCGACTCCCGCGCCCCCACCCGGCCTGCCCTTCCTTCCAGAGTCGCTCGCTGGCGGGGGCTTTTGCTCCCGAGTCAGCTCCAGACAACCCTGCACACACACACACACCCGCCCTCCAAAGCGGCAGCGGCAGTCTGCACATGCTCAGCGTCAATTTGGTCTCCTTTGCCAACAGGTTTGTTTGGTCACCCTGCTGAGCCTTCTTCGGGGACGAGTCCT